GTCTTGATCTGAAGGTGATGATGAAAATGATAACATACAATCTAACACAATAACATTTCCAAAAAATCAAAGTCCCAATTTTTTGGTACTATCATCATCATCATCATCATCATCATCATCATCATCATCATCATCATCATCATCATCATCATCATCATCATCATCATCATCATCAAGTGTCACACATCGGCGATCAGGGTTCTCCATTCATTTCTCTACATTATCCTGATCTTTCCCTGTCACCAATCTGTTTAGACTCTCCAAGTAGTTTACTTTGGGCCTACCCCTGCCTTGTTTGCCTTAAATTAAATCATTATGTTTATGAGGGCTAGATGTGCAAGGCTTTTATGTCTATTCAGAATTGAACATTGGAAATGATGACATTAGTAGTAGTAATGATTAGGATGATTAAGACGATGGTATTGGTACAGAAAGGGAAAGCTCCAAATAAGATTATTATATCATACTGAGCTAGCTATTGTCTTCATGAAACTTGCTGTATTGTTTTGCCTACGCTCTATTCCTCTACGTCTTGCTGTTTGTTTGTTTTGTTCGTAAAACCAACTAGATATCTACATCGGACGGAAAAAAGTAGCCGTTTAGTGTTGGGAATAAATCAAAGCGGACAGACAGAAACAGCAGAGTGTCTTAAGGCCATTCCCAATTGGAGATATTAACATGTTTTTATGCACTGTACAATTGTATATGGCCTGATTTATCAATGTTATGCTCCTACTGTGCCCGCACAATAATAAGGAGATCTGTTACTTTTTCTTTCCTCATCCTTTCTATCGTCATTTTCCTTCTACTTCTTTGCAACTCTCTTGTGAACTGCTATTTCCGGGGTGCCTTGATGGTCGAAGCAGACTTTGTGCTGTTGAGGCTAGAGAAGTGAGCAGAGTAAGCCTGATTCCCCGTTTGGAATCCACCCCTTGGCGCTCATAAGACCTGATGCAGTGGCGAGCGCCGTAAAACTTTACTAAAACTAAAAGAGAGGAACCCGACCCCCCTACCCTAAACCAAAAACACAACAACCCCCCCCCCCCAACTTAGTTGGGACCTTCCTGTGGTGCTCTACAACCAACTGCTCTACAATTTTGCGGACATATACCTGGGTTATAGTAGTCAAAGACCTGCACCTTGGCCGGTTGGATGTTTTCAGCCATGTGTTCTTGGCGGGCGCGGAAACGCACGCAGCTGCTCTGCGTGTTTGAGATCTGCTCAATGAAAATGTTATGTTGATTAAACAAAATTTAAGGTAAAAGGGAGAGAGTTCTTATATTATAGTTCGATAAAATTGTCAATTAAGATGTTAAGAAACAATATCAATAAACAACTCAGTAAGAGAACGTAATTATCCTAAACAAACTGATAAAGGAGAATAGAAAAGCACGTATATTATTATCATCACATGCAAACAAAAATGCGTGAACAATTAACATTTTATCACATTGGTTTTCTGTTAGTTCTTGCAAGAGTTCAATGGCATTTGTGACCCAATTAGGTTACAAGAGTGACGAAGGTTTGAGTTAGAAAAGTTGCAAGAGAGCAACAAACACATAAAGAAGGAGAAGAGAGAGAAACGATAAATGCTTGAGAGGATGGAAGGAGCAAACCACACCAGTGCGCCTGCCAATCACAACAGAGGGAGGTAAATCGATAAATCTTTTTTCTTCAGTCAAAAGGAGGGGATAAAAAAAATAGGATTTTCAAAGAAAATAACATTTTAAAAAGACACAAAAGAAATTTTTTTTACACTGGTATGAGAATAAGAGCATCTAGAATCAAGCTTTGACATCAATCAGTCTTCATGAACTTTGGGATTAGGTTGTGGTCTCAGTTGATAAAAGTGTAATAACAGGCCACAGTTAAGTGTGTAGATATAGAACTGACCTCATCAATGTACAACACCACGGATCTCTTGGATTTCTCGTAGTGATCAATACTGCCCTTCTCTTTCAGCTGTAAAAAATAAACACACAAGAAAGAAAATATTGAGAGTAATATTTATGTTGGTAAAAATCAATGAGCAATTTGTTGTACATCGACATTTGCACATAATTATATTATGTATGCGTCCATATTTTTCAAGCACACCAACATATTGTATAAGTTGACCATCTAGATATTGAAAACATCACAGTCAATGGAACAGCGTTGGCAGATCAATGATCAGACTCGCGGCCCCAGAGCAAACGGCAAGAGTTCGAATCCGGCAATGTGGAAGATATCGTAACTGGTTTTACTGTTTCCTTTTGGGATATAGTATTTTTACAGTCCCCCAATGGTCCCAGCAGGCATGCTCAAAGCATTATTTATTCCAGTTTGTCATCTGAGTCCCTGGTGGACGTACAGTGTGGCAGCATGTTAGGCTCTCACTTACTGACACTTCGTCTTACAGACTTGTTCTTACGACTCCGATATACAAACGAATCTGTTCTAACAACCACATCTAAGACAATTGCCTGTACCAAAGATTACTTCCCACTCGCCCTTGAGTTTTTTCTATATCGCAATGGCATTGCTGAGAGGACCTCTTGTTTAATATAACTACTTTTCTCTTCAACAATGAGTGGCTGTCTTGGACAGGTTTGATTGTATCTCTAAGTCGATGCATGTACTCACCGCCTTCAGGTCCTCCTCGATAGGGACAAACCCTGTAAACAGCCCAACGTCCATCACAGACATACCTGTCGTCTTCACCCCCAGGAACCTGTGGTGAGAAACACGGTCATCTTTCTCAACAATGTTAAAATACAAGGTGAACAAATGACGCAAGCAAACAATGTCAATACACATATCAATACAAATGTCAATACACATGTCAATACACATGTCAATACACATGTCAATACACATGTCAATACACATGTCAATACACATGTCAATAAAAATTTTAATAAAGTGTCAATACACATGTCAATAGAGATGTCAGAAAACAATGTCAACAAACAATGCCAACAATGTAAATAACATTAACTCAGTAAGAGAAGGTCATTATTCTGAACAAACTAACAGACAAGAATAGAACAGCAAGTATATAATCATAATTCAACAAATAAGCCTGAACAATTAGCTTTACAGTGTGGTCACAAATTCGAGGGGCGAATATCTCCTCAACTATCGAACATAGGTTCTCCAATTTTTGCAAAGTGACTTGTATCAATTTGTCTTAACAGATCAACATTCTTGTAAACACCTGCAAGCTGTATTCTAGAAAATTCCTTAATAAATACTAATAAAGATCCAAGTGGGTGGTTTCTACAGATTTTTAAATATTTACAGCTGGGGCAATATTGTTTTTAATAGCAAACCTGTCATGTTTTTCTAATCGGGACATTGTGCTTATTGAACGCATGCTTTGAGAGTCATTAGTGCAGAAAAAAATCCTTTCACTATAAAAATAATTTCTTGTAACACGTTTTGCAAGTAAAAATTGTCATTGATGAGCTGTGACGTAGGTCATATGCGTAATCAAAATGTGTGTGAAAAGCAGGACGTGCTGTGAACAATACCATTTTTCGTGTGACAGAGATTTGAAGTATTTTATATAAATTTATGATGAAAGGTTTTTTAATCTAGCCCCAATTGTTTTTGAAAAATATGATTTAGTTATGAAAAATTGATACAAATTGCTATGCAAAGTATGGATGACATTGTTTCACCCGTTAAAGAGATATTTGAGGATTAGTTGTACCACGAATTTTTGACCGCACTATAGGTTAGATTATTTTTTCTGTTATTTAACAAATAATACATCATGGTAGGAATTGTCTTATAATATTCAACAAATATGCTTGAAAAGCAGATGTATTATAAATAATATAAAAAAAATACACACACGGTTACAGAAAGACGAGGTTTTCTGCAAGCTGTCACAAACGTTTAATTTGTTCCGGGGGAGGGGGGGGGGTGGATCTCACCTGGCGCACACCTGTATACAGACGACCACGTCACTGTAGGGTTTCACAGAACGCCTAGAGCGGGGCCGTCCCATCTTGGAGCCAAACGGTATTCTTGGTGTCTGGGCGCTGGGTGGGTTCATTGTGTGGACCATCGAGGAGAGGGGTGGGTGGTGGACAGGTAGAGTTTTTCTTTTATGATTGAAATTTTCGTATATTGTCATGCATGAAAAATCCAAACAAGACACTCTACCATTCTACCATGTTGACACAGTTTTTAAAAGTAACTTATAACTGTCGGCACCAAATCAGGAAACAGGGAAAAAAAAAGAAATAGTGAGACAACCATTACACCTGCTTTTGGTTCCAAACGTACTGACAGTGTCACAGAATTGGAGCATACCAAGGATACCAAGGTCTCTACGGAGGGGACAAGTACTTAGGCGATTTAGTTCTTATACATCTACTTTCCAGGCAAAGCTGTATTAGGAATTATCGTCGTCGGTATCGATGATAAGGCAAAGACTAAAGAGAGGCATAAGACCGACGGAAAGATCACACACGTTTACAATAACTCTACAAGCCGACTAATGGCTTTCAAAAATAACTGTGTAGGCTTCTCTTGAAAATGTAGGAGTTCCAATGGACACAATTTAGATTATTAGGAGGTGAACTTTGATTCTGGCAGTTAGGCCCAACCTGGGCTGAGAATGATAGAACAATTAAACAGCAAGACCGAGGAACTCAATAATAGAACTCAGGTGTCCTCCTTATGACGGCAAAACGCCAAACTGCTACATCACAGACGGCGATGTAAAAAGTTTCAGCAAAGGAGACTTTGCTTTGTAGAAGAGAGATGGAATAAGTACGGGATGCGATTAAGCATGACAGTTAGGAAATCAATTTACAAAAGGTATGGCACGGGTTCTATAACTCGCTGACGAAATAATAATTGTAAGGTTGCCGTGACCAACGTACTTGGACAAATTTGACAGAAAGGTGACGTGTAACGGCCAGGGAAATGTTGGTGTTTTAACCTTCTCAGCAGCAGAGAAATTAACGGCAGGCCACCGAGGAGCTGGAACTTTATGATAATACAACTTTTTGTTAAAGGCAAGAACCCGAATTTTACACCCTTACCCAACAAAACAAAGACACCTGGCAGACAGCTTTGTGAAGTAACGCAAGTCCAAGCGCACACTTAGGGGGATTCGAATAAGGGTCATTTGCATTCCGTGGCTCCAAATGAGCAAACAAATTGATTGAATTACTAGAATGTTTTGTCTGTTAGGAAGGACTTCCGAAACGAGCGGACAAAGGCAAAGAAAGAAAGAAAGAAAAAAACCGGGTGGTTATTGTGAATAAGCAGTTGACTTATATTAAGGCGGTTATGTAATGGGGGGGGGGACCAGGGGGGGGGGTCGTGGTTGTGTTACCCCCCTATTGACGCCCTTTTGACGATATAGGAAGTTGTGCGCCATGTTTTATCCGTTTTTGTGATATCATTGCAGCAAATACAGACGTAAAAACATGCTTTTTGACAACTGCGCAGCAGGGCAAGGAAGATCAAGTGAGGGACCTCCTACATTGCACATTGAAAACACAAAATCCGACGTGGTCTAAACTTTATTAAGGTAAAGTAACAATCACTCAGCAAAGCAGGTATCGAAAAAGATGGAGGCCTGTTGTCACAAGAAGTGGGGCCCCAAACGACGAACATGGTCATGGGAAGAGGTGACATATGAAAGAAAAGAGATAGAGAGATACTCGATAAAATATCTTCCCACATGGGAATTGATTTAATCTCTTTCGTGAGCAATGCTAAGGGCCCGGTGGTTCCCCAAAAGACATCAGCTTAGGAAAATTTCCCGTTACACGAATGACACGCTCACACTTCATGGCTACAAACAAGCAAACAAACAAGCAAACATAAAAAACAATACAAGCACTCTGTGGGTGGTTGGCAGGTGCTCTGGTGTGGTTTGCTTCTTCTTTCCTATGAAACGTCTATCGTTCTTATCTCCCTTTCTTTATTTTTATGTTTTGTTACTCTCTTATAACACCTGTAATCTTCTGGCGCTTATATGACCGTATGCAGCTGCGAGCGCCGTAAAACCTCTACTAAAACTAAACTAAAAAACAAACACTGACTAACCTAGACATGTTGTCCTCAACACCGGGTCCTTGTTTCTTCGATGGTCGAGGCGTAGCGCTGCCAGCCCCCGATTTCCTCTTGTACCACAGGGTTTGAATCCTCGGAACAATAGGAGGGAACGTGAAATTTTCAAAATCATCATCATCTCCCTCGTCGCCGTCGATGTCGTCGTAGTCGTCTTCTTCGCACTCGAGGTCACAGGGCTCACACTTGGATCTGAAGAGTTCAAGACCAATTATCCAGGTGAAAATAATGAAACAATGGGGTAACAAGCGAGAGGCTTTAAAGAGAGCTGTGCCCATTCGACCTTAGTATTCAACCTTCACTACTTTTAGCTATTCACGGATATTCAAAGCGTGACAGAGCTATTCGAATATCGTGCGATTTATACAGATTTTCGTCACCTGTTGTAGAATTAAAGCACATTATATTAAAAATCACAAAGGTAAATACAGCAGTACTTCCTTCTTGATGATTTCGTAGTGCAGTAATACGTGGAGCCAACAAGAGCTCGTATAAACCATGCCATAAGCCGCATTTACTACAATTTAAGAATTTCCCTTGTCACATCATGAATAGATCTAGATATAACAGTAGGCTGTCGGAATGAGCTTCTTTTCCCTATCTGAAAAAGAAGCTTTATGAATGGTGATGTCATCGTAAAGCACTGCCAGCGTGCTATCGAGGACACAGTGAATAGCGCTCTTAGTGAATATTGACATGCGAAAATTGCATTATGGACTTATTATCGTTACCCTTTAATTACAAAGGTCTACCTTCTCAGTACCTCGTACAGGGCAATTTGACATCAAAAAAATATTTGTGAGGCAGCGTGGTGAAATCAGGTGCTCATCAAAATAATGAAATCAAAGAAACTGGCACTTTTCTGTCCATTTGTCATTTTTACCGAATTATTGGTTTTTGACTCAACACCTTTAGGGTCCATTTGAAAACACATTTCTGTTTGGATTTTACTTTAAAAAAATGCTGATTTAAGAAACAAAGATGTAAATTAGTAGTTGCAAAGGACAGTCAAGCTTTGGAAGTCGCCAAACTTTGGCGGCCATTTCCTCGCTAATTTTACCTCTGAAACCAGGCGACCCCACCTCCTTCAAAGGCAAATATCCCCACTTCTATTCCTGATAAATGGATATTTTTTTCACCAAGAGTAAGACAAATGAACAAGCTTTAAAATGATACCAATAACTCATCATGTCCAAAAATTGATAAGCGCCTTATTCCACTGCGTCATGACACATTTATGAGTTTCACAACAAGTCAAACTTTTTGGAAGATGCATAGAACATCTTAAAAACGACTCCGAATAATCTTACGATTTTGATAAAGCAGACGGAACATTAACATTTTCATTTCTAACGTCAAGGTCTTAAAAGGGTACAAAATGCCAGGTAGAATTTTACCAATAAGAGAGTAACTTGAGTAGTCTGTTGGTGGGGGACAGACTTGTCTATCTGCGTGGGTGTATGTATATATATATATATGTGTGTGTGCGTGTGTGTGTGTGTGTGTGTGTGTGTGTGTGTGTGTGTGTGTGTGTGTGTGTGTCAGTGTGTACGTGTGTGTATGAGAGAGTGAATAGAGAGAGATAGAGAAAGAGAGAGGAGGGAGAGAGAGAGAAAGAGAGTGGGAGAGAGAGAGAAAGAGAGAAAGAGAGAGAGAGAGAGAGAGAGAGAGAGAGAGAGAGAGAGAGAGAGAGAGAGAGAGAGAGAGAGAGAGAGTATGGAGGGAGAGGGTGGCGACATGGGGGTATAAACATATAGAAGAGATAGATAGATGCACATACAAATAGATAGACAAACAGAAGCTGAAGCATAAGGGAGAAAAATGGAGATGCGCCCAAATTTGTTGACCTCGATTCTCCAAAGAAGCTCTGTATCAGTGTGTTGGGCCTGTGTGTGTTGACCTTCACATCAAACCGACACTGGTCAAGGTCATTAGGGACGTTGAAGCGGACCTCAACCTGCATCAGGCCTACTCCGGTACCTTCAGCCTCGAAGTGGAGCTTGCCACCCGTGGGAACCTAGCCACAAAAAGAGTAGAAGTTAGCTTGTTGCACACAAAAACCATTTTAGTGTAGATCAGGTACAACATTTTTCACCGGAGAGCCATTTCGGATGTTGGAACTAGATATTTTAAGTGTTGCTTTGTTTTTGTTTGTTTTGTTTGTTTTATTTTTTAAAAGTATTTTACGGCGCTTGCAACTGCATAAGGTCATACAAGCTCGCGGACGCATTAAAAAATTTCAGTTTGGTAGGAATTGCTTTTAAATCGGGGGTGGGGGAGGGAAGGAGGGGATGGGAAGAAAGTAGGGAAACCATTCTATTGAGTTTTACATATAAAAACAGTTAGCGAGGGCCACACGGACTGTTCTGAAGGTGTGGGTGTGGCCTGCTGCATGCTGTCTCTTGCACAATCCTGACATAGTAGGTCATCAAGGAGAACAGTGTGGAAAGGGGCATTACTCCTAAACTGTTACTCGTTACCATCTTGAAGGGGTACTGCTTCGACTTAACCAGTGTTGTAAGGTCGTTAAAACTATACAGTAACGACTAAATAACAACAGCAACAACAATAATAATAATATTAATAATAATAATAATAATAATAATAATAATAATAATAATAATAATAATAACAGCAATAATAATAATAACAACAACAATAATAAACATAAATAGTAATAATGATAATAATAATAACAACAGCAACAACAACAACAAAAGCAACTTAGTTTCAAAGTAATTCTTACCTTCGGCACCGACTTCAGAACCATGGCGTCTTCAGGGGTGAGCGAGATTGACTTTCTGAAGCGATCATCAACCTCAGAGCTAATGTGACAAGTCATGTCCAAGATGGCGGAGTAAGACTTGATGCTGTACTCGGACAGGGCTTGGAGACCGACGACAGTGTCCTGGGTGCGGGTAAAGGGAATACGAGGGTTAGTACTTGACGGAGTGGTGATGTGTGTGTGTGTGTGTGTGTGTGTGTGTGTGTGTGTGTGAGAGAGAGAGAGAGAGAGAGAGAGAGAGAGAGAGAGAGAGAGAGAGAGAGAGAGAGAGAGAGAGAGAGAGAGAGAGCGAACGAGAGAGAGACAGAGCAAGGGCGAGAGAGAGAGAGAGAGAGAGGGAGAGAGAGAGAGAGAGAGAGAGAGAGAGAGAGAGAGAGAGAGAGAGAGAGAGAGAGAGAGAGAGAGAGAGAGGGGGGGGGGGGAAGCTGCGTGGGACGAAAAAGAGACAAATAGATAGATAGGGAAACTCCATCCTGCAGATCCAATAGGAACGGGAGTGATGTTGCATCAGTTTGCAATGTCTTCTTATGGTCCAACTCACAAAAAAGCCAAATAAACAATTGAACTGACGTGACACACATTTCTAGAAATTACTCTTCGGCTCTCCACACTTATGACCATCCAACGTTAAGATAATGAATACAAATTAGGTAGCACACTACATAATAAATGAGTAAATAGACAAACAGACATTCAGCTGAGTTTCCTTTCGTGTCCCCTCGTCAGAATGTGGACTCATGAAACTATATACAAGACATTCTGATACACAGACACAAAAATAAAGGAAACAAAACCCAACAACAAACAAACAAACAAACAAACAAACACACAAACAAAAACCCCATTGACCTGTGTAGAAATGAAGGCTCCGTGTGAGTTTCTCTGTTGCGTGAGCCACCCAACAATACTGGTTCCGGTCTTGATGTCACCTCTCACCAACAGGGTGAGGAGAGCATATGATGTCACTTCCACCGCTAGGGCTCCTGGCTTTTTGGCGAACCAGTACGGCTTGTCGTGGTCCTTGAAGTCTTCGTCCGTGCCTGGAGCCCAGTAGGTGAAACCTGGGCAACCGTGTCAGAAGTATCGAGAGTCATGTCACATTTGCGGGAGATGTGAATTTTATTTTTTTTTTAATTGGGGGGGGGGTATTACAGATGATGCTAAAAGAAAATGTGAGGAAATTTTATTCCAGGTTAAGAATCACAGATACAGAAAGTATACATGTGATTGAAAAAAAAGGCAGACAGAGGAAAAAGAGATTTAAACAGCACCTGGACATGGAGAGATAGTGTCCATTTAAATGAGCTATTAATGGTTAACGTTCGGCAGTTATGGTAAACAAGGTTCTAAATCAAGAACGTATTCTCAGAGTATAGCTGCTTTTCTCTTTTTATGATCTGGGCTTAACATTTTAACTTACCAAATAAAAAGCATAGTAACTAACAAAAAAGTAAAATAAAAAGTAGCACTTGAAAAGCGCAAATTCTTATAGCACTTGTATAGCGCAAAGAGCCCTATGCGCTTTTCAAGTTATATCATTACGCCAGAAAACCTGATAACATTCTCAAAGAATCTCAACTTCCTGGGAAGCATACTGTGCAAGCTGCCATTTTACAGACGCTAAAACACTAACATACTAACGAGACCTTTCGCTGTCTATGGCAGGGTTCCCATTCCCATCTGGGTGAAGTAAGGAGAATTCCCGTAAAATGCCTTTCCTAAGAACAAAACGTCGGGTCTGACTATGAGTCAAGTAGCCTAGACTACTGACGCCACAATAAAACTATAGATAAAATACCCCCCCCCCCCCAACAACAACAATAACAAACAAAAAAGAAAAACAAACAAATAGAAGAAAAACAGTTTGTTGCTTGTAACCTCACCCTCTGGAGAAGACTTGGCCAACATCATCAGTCGTTTTACGACAACCTCACTGATCCTACTTCCAGCTAAGGTCAAGGCGTAGGCGCTGGTGGCCAAGGCCAAAGGTCGATCTGTCAAGGCAACTCGTGTCTGGATGAAACGCATCGTTTTGACGATCACTTCTTTCTGGACCTGAATAAAACAGTACAGTTTATAAGTATTTCCTGTGGGTTTCAAGTCTCTTTTGACGGTAAGTGTTTTACGGCGCTCGCAACTGCATATGGTCATATGAGCGCGCGCGCACTTGAAACATTTTCAGTTGGTAGGAAATTTTGAACTTTGCTTAGGTGGCGGCCCAAGCATACTCTTATCGATTTTAGACCACCAAGGTATATTTAACGTGTGCAAATTGTACACGGGACCTCCGAGATTTCTCGCTCTTGACCGACAAGGCTAGGTGTAGATCTTTCCTTCAAGAAGATCAGGGGTGTGGTTAAAAGACAGCAGTACGAAAGAACCAAGGTGTAGCAGTAGAAAGGCTGCAGAAAGAGCCAGGAGCCTAGAGGAGAGGGCAAAGGAGGCGAGGGGGAGGGGGCAGAAAGTGGAGACGGAATCAGACGACAGAACATTGCTAGAGAGCTGGAAAGGAGGTAAAAGGGAACAATTTCAGAGAAGAAAAATTGTCCCTCACTACCCGGATTTGAACTCGGGACCTTTGAATGAGAGGCGAACACCTTTACATCTAGGCCACAAGAGCCCCCCTGACGCAGTTTATAAATTCAACCAGTTTCTTTTTCGACTGAGTTCCACAATAATAAGCTAAGAACACTCTGTTGGGGATCAAACCAAGATCGCCCACATTGCTGTTCTGCCCGTGATTGTGAATGTTTATGCTGCCACAGAAATGTTGTGTTTAGCTGCGTTTTTTCTTTTTCTTTTGTTGTTGTTGTTGTTTTGTTCGTTTTTCGGTACTGTTCCCAATGAAGCCCAGGTATGCAAAAAGTGGAATAGTGTTTTCAAAGTATCAAACATTTCACTAAACAATATCCAAGTCTCCATATAATATTTTCCCCTTATTTTTCAACAACAACAACAACAACAACAACAACAACAACAACAACAACAACAACAACAACAACAACAGTAGCAACAACAACCACACCTAAAACAACAACAGCAATATAAACCTCAACAACAACAACAAAAACAACAACAACAACAAAAACAACAACAACAACAACAACAGTAGCAACAACAACAACAACCCCTAAAACAACAACAACAATAAAAACCTCAACAAACAACAGCAACAACAATAAAAGCAACAACAGCAACTACGACAACATCAGCTACAGCAACAGAGATGATGATGATGATGATGATGATGATGATGATGATGATGATGATGATGATGATGACATCTAAAACATTGCAGATAATGACACCAATGGTTTCTATTTCAGTTTCTCTCATCCGGGCTTGACATCGCTCACCTTCCCAGGGCAGTCACACTCCATCAGGGCTATCAAGATGTAGGCTGCATGAGAGACGTCACCATTGATGCCGCCCTAGAAAGAAAATTATATTTTTAAAAAAGCTTCATAAATCCATGTGAGCACACCGAGCGTCCCAGTCAAATTTCCTGGCTCATCTGACAGTCTACTGGCTTACAAAGAAACGGACCTGCACACAGACATTCACACTCATTCGCACCTGCATACTAATTAAATCAATATAATATAACTTTCTTCAACCCCCCCTCCCACATACACATTCTCTATCTATCTATCTATTTATATATATATATATATATATATATATATATATATATATATATATATATATATATATATATATATATATCTGTGTCTCTCACATTCTCTCTTTCTTTCTTTCTCTCTCTATTCCTTTGGCTCTCAAATCTTTCTCCGGTTGTTCTTTTCATCCCAACTTTACTCTAACCCAAACCTCCTGTAAGTCAAAGTAAATCTATCTATCTATCTCTCTTTCTATCTAAATCACTGCGCATATAAAACCCAGACAGCGTACCAGCATTTCCCTGTGAGTGACCCACGCCTTCTCCTTGAAGCTACCGTCTGTGTTTTGCTGTTGGGCGATCCACTCGACAGAGGCGCAGGTCTGGTTGTGTTCGATAGCGACGTAATGTTCCGCCTGACACAGAGTCTTCATCGCGAACGCCGTGAGCCTGGGGGGGGGGGGGGGGGGGGAAGCAGACGTAAAAACCAACGATACATTTTCTTTTGTATACATCTATGCTTATATTAATTCGAACCCCGGAACTGACACGTTTAATTTAATTTTGGGGGGTTTCAGATTTTGTCACAGTTCTCCAGTGGGCGATTGGCGGATGCTTTAGCGTGCTTTGCTCTTTCTTTCCTATCAAACATCTATAATCCTTTTCTCCTTCTTTTAGAGTTTGTTACTCTCTCGTAACACCTCCAATCTCATATGATCTAATTGTATTATAATTGCCGTATAACTCTTACGAAAACTAAAACAGTTCTCCAGACATCTGCTGTGTCTAATGAGAAGCGAGAATTTAAGGGGGTCGTATCTTCGAAGCAAACTTACTGAAATGAAAGGGAGGTGGGGAGGGAGGGGGTCAAACTAAAACTACACAGTATATATATTTCGCACATCTGAGTAAATAATGCAGACAAAGAGGTTCTAAAGCTATCTTTGTTACGAAAATGTGTTTTAAAACAAAATACGTCACTCCCTAAAAATAATGTCAGGCGTGACATCTGCATCTTATACGACATATTATTATTCGTATCTCTCGTAGCCCAACTGAAAACCTTTCTCCATTCATAGCTTATACATACAATGAACTGCGTTTTTGGCTTCGCGTCAATTTAAATATTCAAAAGCTTCGGAGCACTTTCATTAATTCAAAAGTACCCATCCCCCTCTCCCGTAAAACCCCCCCCACCAAAGACATGGTGTTTGAAGGCTCGGCAACGTTTACAAAACCTCCAAAGATTTCTGTTTATTTGTAATGATTTGGTCAGCAGTGTCAACGATTGCATCCAGTCAGTCTTTGTTGTCAAATGATGTCAGGGGAAACCCTCATCAGAATAAAACACAATCCTTAGACTGTACACTATTTAGCACCAATGCTAAACGGCGCATTCAACTTCCTCTCTTTTTCTTGCACCGATGTCTCCGCGAGGTAGACTAGATCTAGAAATAGATCAATATCATCTCCGTTTATAAGGCAGTTTTTTTTCCTTCAAATGCTTTCGTCACCTCACTTCGTACATATGTACTATGGCCTTATCAAAGAAAGAGATGACAACACGGAGTGAACAAGTAGAAGAGTTAAGCCACAGGCAGGAGTAGAATCTAGATCTAGATCCGGATTCTAGATCCATTAGGTACTTTACTTAATATTTATTTTTATCATTATATTATGTCTCAATAGTCTCATTCATACTGAAGGGTGTCGGCCACGTTTGGACCATTTTCACCGATAAGTTTTTGAGGTCTCCCCCCCCCCTCTCTTTCTCTCCCTCTCTTTCTTTATCTCACTCTCTCATTCTCTCTCTCTCTCTCTCTCTCTCTCTCTCTCTCTCTCTCTCTCTCTCTCTCTCTCTCTCTCTCCCTCTCTCTGGTTCAATCATTCTCTCTGCCCCGCCCTCTCCTATCCAATTTAATGTCCCCCTGTCTCTGTTCTTCTCCGTCCTTCTCTTCTCCTCTCTCTCTCTTCCTCTCCCTCTGAGTGAGCGGAGAACATGCCAATGTTAAGGTTTGTAAAACGAAAACAGTATTCAGAAACCGAGCACGGTATATGTATACCTTTCAGGGACGAAGTTTGCTAAACAATGGTTTGTTGACACGCATCATTGTGAGTAGTTGACGGGTGCTCTGGTGTAGTTTGCTCCTTTTTCCCTATCAAACATCTATCATCCTTAATTCTTCTTCTTTTTGTGTATGCCTGTTATTCTCTTTTATAACACCTCTAATATTCGGGACTAACATGACCTAATTGTGTCGGAAATGCAATAGAAATATTACTAAAATAAAACATGCATCAAAAGTACAGTGAAATACAGAAGAATCGTTATTAGTTTGATGCATATCTTTCACGGTACCACCAATACACTGTAGAGCTGTTAGAACGTCGGCTATTTTGATATTGCCTGTCGTGGCCACCCTGGGTTAACTAGATACAGCATCACTGCAGAAAGATCGAGATATCCGACAAAATCAATATTATAAGTCTGTAAACTTTTCCCCAGGACGAAAGTAACCTGCAGCAGCGGAGACTGATGAAGAAAACGTCAGCAACACAACATGGGGGAGGGCGGGGCACAACACCATTGTCAACGCCGACTGAATCCAACAGACAGAGCGATCATGATGAAGAAGTACAAGAACAAAGCAATTGTTTCTCTTCCTCCTCCTTGTCCTCCCCCTCCTCAGTTTCTTTAGTCTCGTTCCGTGGACGGAATGGTCGAGAGACTGGCGATGAGGCACATGGCAGGAACACCTCACAGAATGGTGAGATACTGCCGTTTTGTACATTCAAAGTATCTTGAGCAAAACGTTTCTTTTTTGTCAATACTTTTGCGAGTTTATCAAATTTGTAAACTTTGAACAGTGGATTTTACTTTGATTAGACGTACGAAGTGTTCTTTGCTCCGCACCATCCCTCCTTTCCCTATAACAAACACGCGTGAAAACAATTTTTTCAGTATTCCATTCTGGAGACCCATGATCTTACAATACTATGATATTTTTTCTGCAGCCATCGAAAGAGTTTGTCGTCCAAACCTCTTTTAAAAAAGTGGCTGTTTGCACAAATAAAACACTTTGTAATCTCGTCTGTCCGAAAGTGAAAATTATTTTCAAGGAGTGCAAAAAAAAAAAAAAATGGAAAAAAGAAACGACAACAAAAACAAAATCCCCAAATTGGTTCTGAATATGGTGTAAGATGTTAAATACAGAAAGCCATCTATGCAACACAATCTAGAAAGCTATCATCCCCTCCTCCTCTACCGTCTCCTCTAACTGATCCCAAAACATTCGCAAATCTAAATCAAACGAAAGAAAACACGCATAATCAAAATCATCACAGCTAAAAAGAAAAATTACGACCTGACACTCGCCATGGTGTTCTTCAGCAAAAAGACCCGTGCCAGGCCACAGCAGAAGTGCCGAGACCGTACCGCGCGTGTTCGGAAGTCACAGGCTTGAGAGAGTCCATCGGAGAGCAGTGGCCAGCAGGTACATTTGATTATCTCTGCGGCTTTGACTATACAAGTGTTACTTACAGAGTAAAGCAAAGTACGTTCGTTACAGCAATCAAATTGAAAGGAATATAGGACAAATCTCAGGCAGCATCACTCAAGACCGAATTGCCGGAAATCAAGATTAGGTTTCAGTTTAAAGACTCCTGCCCTAACTAACACTAATCCTCTACTGGCTTGCTTGTCTTTTCTCTCTTCCTCTTCTTTTTCATACCCCGCCATTTGTTTCCCCGACCTGCCAAGGACAACAACTGGCTGCTGTGCTCCGACCGGTAAAAAGGAATTTCAACCCTCTATTCTTAACTTAGGTTAAAGGTGTCTTTCGCACATTGTGTCATGTGATCCTCATGTGACCACACACACACAGAGAGAGAGAGAGAGAGAGAGAGAGAGAGAGAGAGAGAGAGAGAGAGAGAGAGAGAGAGAGAGAGAGAGAGAGAGAGAGAGAGAGCGAAATCCGGGAGTACGCACTAGGTCAAGCCGGTTTCAAAATTTTTCATGGAGAGTTACAAAGTTCTTTTTGCCTTCCTACCTTGATCAGGTAGCTACTTTTTTCCAACAGAAGTGCAAAGTCAAGTTTTGCTCGGAGGATAGCTACTTCATGTGCCGTATTTTCTGTAAGTTTATAATTTACATTCACAACATAGACGCGGTATAATAGTAATACCGTGCTGCAAAAGTTCTGTCACACCAACCTTAAAAGTACAATAACTCATTTACTAATTCAAGATAACTAAGAGAAATTTGGTACACGCGATCTTTATTTTCTGCGAACATGACCTGAGCCTGAAAAAATTTGACAAACGTCTTTCCTTATTAAAGGGAGATAATTTTATTCACACTGACCCTTACACAATCCAATTCAAAGTTTGCTCAGTATCGCGTGTGGCCTCTTCCAGCTTGAATTACTGATACAAAACGTCTGTTTATCGACTGAATTAATGTCCTTATGGTTGTCTGAAGAATTCCCTACCATTCCTTGAAAAGTGCAGTTTTCCGTTCCTGACCAGTTATAGGGATTGTGGCCTGTTTCTAATCCTCCAGTCAAGGTCATTTTACAGATGTTCTGTAGAGTTAGGGCTTGTTGATCTTGCAGGCCAGTCCAGAACAGTGATTTGTAGAGTTTGGAAAGAGGTTTCACTGATTGTCCTCTTTTGTGGTCGGGCGTTGTCTTTTTAGCACATGAAGGGCAGTCACAGTAACGAAGAATATCGTCACAATACCGTCGTCCTTTGAGGTTGCTTTGAAAAATAACCAAACATTTGAGCCACCGATTCGGGGCACCTGGAGGACGTTGGATTTGTGAAATCTCTATCCTCTACTTTTAAACACTATTTCTCTTCCATCATGTGTATCAATGAGAGGAATCAAAAACCTTAACCACTGCTGAATAGAACACTTTACCAACGTCTTTAATTTCATTGCCAATGTTGTTGTGTCCAAATTTGGCGATTTCTTCAATGAAACAGGGATAGAATGGCTTCACATAGAGGGCAATAATCACATAATCCACGATCATATAAACTCATACATGTCTAATAATGGTGTTTTATGATAGTCCGGAGTACATGGCAGTCTCTGCGCTTACTTGAAACGGATTTCGAAAATGGGTGTTGACTATAGCCCAATTCGGACGTCAAGTTGTCACCCTTAGTTGGTCACGTCTAGGTTTGTCTTGGACAGTTCTATTGGTGTTAAAACGTTTGTTCAAGCGTTAGGTGGTCCTTCTGCACACATTTACATGTCTTGCAACAGCAGAAAACACAATTGAAGAATTGATCATACACACAGTGCCTTTATTTTCTGCACTTATCAGCTTCGTAATTTTGAAATCTGGTGAAAAACAAACAAACAACGATTCTACCGTCAAAAGTACGGACTTTTATAGCGTGTAAGGTGTGTTTATACATTGTCTACAACGGAGACCGAGAGAAATCAATACCAACACTTTGCCCACGTACTACTTCCTGTTTATAATTTCTTTCGTCTGCTCTTACGCAAGGAATCTCATAAAAGTTACACAAGTCATACTTTTCTTTTTTGCTGCAATTCTTACACTGTACCGAAAATTATCGTCTTAAAATGTATGTGACAGAATTTTTGCATCTCAGTATTATAGTTGCCAGGAGTAGTATGTGCAAAACACGTACATTTCCATAAATAATTGTAATTATATTTGCCTTAAACAAAAACTAATAGCTGTGTCTTTCTTCTCCCATTCCCTCCCCCTTCCCTTTTCCCCCGACCCTCCCTCCCCCTAATCCCTTTCACACTCACTCATCCCTGTAGGCGTGCCCCAGGCACAGATTCGATCCCTGTTCTTTCAGGACACGTAGCAGGCATCCACAGGTCTGGCAGTCATAGCGTGGGCGCACCACGCACAACTGGGCACATGCGAGGGTCAAAAAGTTGCACCAAAGAGTGCGAGGTGCTTCGAGCAAACTACAGCAGCCAACCACGCCCCCTGTCAAACACCCCTCAAGGTGGGTGGAGCTTGATCACCGGTGCATACGGTCGATTGTACGCAGCACTTGTTCACGGCGGCGAGCAAGCGTTGGACAGTGCTCGTGAAACAGAGAGTGCAGGCTCTAGCGTGAGCGCTTGTCCCGGGGAGAACAGTTTCGACGATGATACAGATATCCTGGTCGCTGAGGACAATTACAGCGATGATGATAATAACAGTAGAGATGATACTGGTAAGGGTATTGATAATGACGTTGATGAAGACAACGATGTGACAGGCGAGGGGAGACGACAACTTGAATATGCAAAAAATGCAAAGGTCAATGAAGAAGATCAAAAGTTAGAAAAATCTCTCGAAGGATCAACGGCTGGCGAAGGTCTACAGAGAGTTAGCGGGCGGAGCTGCGCTCTCTGGAACAATTTCAGTCATGGCGGTGAAGCAGGAAGACCTGTTAGCGCAGATGACATCATCACTGTATGGCAGGCATCTGGATACCGAAGGGAGCTAACTCTGAACTTGAACACCGATGATAGGCCCGGTTCGGTGACGTCATCCGATTCGTCGAGAGCTACGGTTGAGCATATGGTGAGCGTAAGCCCAACGACTACTGGGAATGTGGGTAATATTTCACCGCGTAAATACGACAGGAATGTCGTTAGTTCTGAAGAAGGTATGCGTTATCGTACCTCAGCGCTTACAGATTCGAGGCCGTCTGTCTCTGGTGAGGGCGAAAGACCTCTTTGTTTCTATACATCAGGGCTGGGATGCAGCCACGAGACAGATCACGCTACCACCGAGGATGAGAGCTCTGCTGTTGGGGGGAGTAACTCCTCCTCCCAGATTTCTGATATCATCGTCGTGCCAACAACGTCACGTGAACACATTGACGGGCGGACCAAAAGCGACGCTGGTAAATGGGATAGCTGCGGTAGCCAACGGACAGGAGATCAAACTACGTCCTTGCCAACTCCCGGTGCAGAAACTGGCGATAACAGCGAAGGTGTTTTGAATTCCACTGTTAAATCAATTGCTACTTGCGATATAGACAGTAATAACTCCGAAAAGGTTATTACAATCATGAGTTCGGATGATAAGGATGTTGCACAATATATTGAGGATGCCAGTCCTAATGTCACTGACGTCGGTACAAATGTCGGTCCACAAGTCACGGAGGACGACCCTTACGTCAAGGACGTCGAAAGTCACGACCATACCTTAGAGATAGGTCAAGGTCAAACGCTACCTGTCACATCAGCAATCTCCGGATGTTGCGTCACAGCAGAGGCGATTGATTGCCACTCAGCAGAGAGTGTCTGTCCTTGCGTAACGACTGCGTTAGTTTTGAACGCAGCGCAAGGCAAGGTAAAAGGGTTTTACAGTTCTAGTCGCGACGACCAGATATCATGCGATAAGGTGAAGGAACAGCCAGGCGGAGAACCAGTTGTTCAGGAGTGTCAGCTCAATAGAAACACCAGCAGTGACGAGGCACAAGAATGCCAAGGCGTAGCCAAAGGCCAGGAGGGTCAAGCAAAGCTGTTTCGAGAAGAGGAGGAAAAGGTTAGAAACACGCCTGAGCCTTCGAGTCAAACATTATCTTCAGGTTGCCCCGACGTTCGAGATGCTGTGGGTGCCCAAGGCGTGGTGAGTACTACCATACCCACAACGAGTGGAGAAGAAACTGGGTTTTGGCATGCTGCAAGAATGAAAGAACTGGGTTTGCCTTTTGATGGTGAAGTGGGCAACCAATGTTCAGCGGTTGACGCCTGGGCAATGAAAGATAAGTCGAGGAGTGAGGACCAGGCCAGGACAACAGAGGAATATCCCGCTATCAACGATACAAGCGGCAAAGAGTCTCATGACACCGAGGCAGGAGAAAGCAAAAAAATAACAGAACAACAGCCGCACATCAAGGCTACACCTGTGGTAAAAGAATCCCAAAGAACTAAAACGCCTGACAAAGAATCTGAAACTAAAGGAGCGTCATGCTGTACGGAAAGACCTCATGACGCAAAAGAGGAAACCACCACAGTAAGTAAATCTGTTTCTCCAGAAAGGGGACATGACCGAGCACGACTAGTTTCTCCTTGCTTCGGAAATGTTGAATACGCAGCGTTCTACCAAGCTTTGAAACGGCGCCCTAATAAAAAAAGGAATCCTGTTCATTGCCAGCATAGGGCACGACGAAGCCCACGACCTCGAATGATTCCTCCAGAGGTATGCCAGGTTCCAGAACAAAATGAAAGAAAGGAACTGGATAGCATTTCTCCCATCTCTGGCCGGCTGTGTCCGATAGGAAAAGAAGTGCCTCCAGATTGGAAGCCAGGGGAACACGGTTCAAATCCCATCACGCAGCTCAGCGCAAAATACCAACTAAGATCACCTCGGAAAAGACAACGTAAACCAGTTCAGAACAGGGGGTTTGGTCGTACTTTCGCGGGGACGTCGCGGCCACGTGCCGGGTCCAGACACCACCAGCAACGAACACCAAGATCGGCTCTGTCCGAAGTCCCACATCTTAGTTCTAGTGAGTCCAGGCTACCCACTGCCAAAATGCCATCGCTTAGACGGTGCGACGAACTTTCTGTCAAGTCCCCGCCTGTGGTATATAGGGAAGTCTACAGTTCCACATTGGATGACGACTCGGAGACAGACGAGGCTTGGCCCCAGTCAAACCAAGGTCTCGGCACTGTGGATTCAAAGGGTGATTTTGAGTCCAAGAGAAGGTACTTTGAGAAGCTAAAGAAAAAGAGATCAGGCACCCACGCCAGTCCAGACACAACTCGGGAAACGAAAAGGCCCGGTGAAAAGTCCATCACGTCAGAAGTAAACCTGCTGAAAACGATTGACAGTTACTACCAAGAGGAAGATCGCGGGAAGGACGCAGAGAGCAGTGGTTCTGACAACAGTAGCTTGGCCTCTTTCTCAACAACGCAATCCAAAGTCCTTAAGAAGAAGATGCAGAACAAGTCGAGTCATAAGCAGCGGAAAGGAGCATCTTCCAGCCCCCGCCTACCTTCTCCTGCTGTACTGACCTCCGTGACTGCCCCCAAGTTGAGCGCTGCGCGAGTCCGCATTAGAAAGATCAGCCAAGTGGCACCATCTGTCATAGACCATGGGCGTGCAGAAGAGCTGAGTACCTGGAAACCGTACAGTAGCACAGGGTGTGGTGTAGCTAGCAGGCCAAACTGGGAGTACGACCGGAAGGAATTAGGCAATAATTTGGAGGAAAAGGGCAGGGAACGCCAGGCCGTAAAGCCAAGAGCATCTCGGGTGACTTCTCCACTTCCAAGTGGTCGCAGGAGATTTAGAAGGAGAGCAGGGCATTTAAGGGAGATCAATAACTTGAATGCAGCAGTTCGCTCCAACAAGACATTGGGTGACGATTATGGCAGGTCACTGACAATCTCGGCAAACTTGGATCATGGGTTAAGATCTCCAAAAATGAACTCCAGACGACCTGATAATCTGGAACTGAGTGTCCAGACTGGCCTTGACCGCATGGAGGACAACGGTCATCTAAATTTAGATGCGTTGCGTCTGAGAAGAATAAAATCCCATAACGAGGTATCTCCAGGGGCCGCGGTCAGCGGTAGTGCTCCTCACAAAGGTAAAGAAGTCTCCTGGGCCTCTGACCGGCTGTATGAGGTCGGGGGTGAGACGAAGGGTGGGGTCGGGGGTGAGACGAAGGGTGGGGTCGGGGGTGAGACAAAGAGCGGGGCCAAATCCAAACTAAGAGTGCGATTTTCCGAACAGCCACCACCTTTAAAGAAGCGGACGCCTGATCCTCCGAGCAAACTGTCCGAGGAAGACCAGTGGTGCTACACCATCAATGCCATGTTGCTGCGCGCTAACAAGGCTCTAGAGGACGGTGACGAGGGAAAGAGAAGCACCCATCGCTATCCGCGGCCCCAATCCGCCAAGGTGGTGTTGCCCATCACCCACCGTCAGCCGCGGAGCACAAGTTTCCTGGGCGAACTGCTCAAGCAGGACCAACTCGAGCGAAGACAGGCCAGAATCCAAGCAGCTGAAGAGAGACAGAGAAAGGGCTACAACAACTCAAAGTCTCTCACCAGTACAGTCCAGACAGCCAACAGCAACCAAGCCACAAGGAGAAAAAGCCTTTCCCCTCAAAGGCGGAACAACTCAAGTGGAAACAATATGTTCTCAGAGATCCCTGATGAGCTTCCTTTGGGAAGCCTCCCTTACATCAGCGACGCTCGGACACTGGTGAGAACATGCAGTTGTCCACAGCAGGACAGCAGTGCCGGTGTGCTAAAGATCAGGACCAAGATGTCGGCGGAGGCTCGCCAAAGAGCCTGGATGGTGCAGAAGAAGATGATGATGCGCCGCCCGCGTTCGCCAGATCGTTATTCCCCTCCACCGCCGTCATGTCGACATAACAACGCTGCCCCCAGGCGTGTCCAGCCATTCCGAATTGGAAAACCGATTGACTTCACAAATCCGGATACAAATGGTTTGGAAAGAGCCCCCCTCAGGTCTTTGAAAGAAGGAGGAGAGCATGTGAGTCGGTGTGTCTCTGACTTATTTCGTGTCAAAGCAAGCAGTAATAATACAGCGACATCTACTAGTCTACACGCTCTCTCCAAAAGGGAACCTGGAAACTTCCTTCTTGACCGATATTCAGACACGTTCAACTATTACAGCTCGAGATATCTCGATCAAAAGAGATCTTCTGTGGTGCAATTATATTCTAACGTGAACAACAACGCCAACTCGGAAACGAACGAACTCGGTGAAAAGAGCTCAGACAAAACTAGAATACAGACAGCTAAGGATGCGCCAGCTGTTCACGTACAATTCTCTTCTCACAAACTGCCTGGAGTTAAAAATGTTGATTCCTTTTCACTCTCTTCGGAGACCACTGGCAGCCAAGGTAAGAGTGATGAGAACGCTGGGGACGTCCAAGTCGTCTCGTGTGCCAAAGCCATATACTCAGAGAATCCATTAACACAGGACAAACACGTTCACAATGGCCCAAATTGTACCTCTGTTGCTAGCGTAAGAACAGAAATCAAGGGACAAGGAGATGAAGAGAGGGGTGAGAATCTGACAAACACCAGGATCTGTCTATCTTCTGAAATGACATCTGCAGCAAACTGCAACTCAATGCTTGTGGCAGCGTACACGGATCCAGATTCCTTGCCCGCGGAAGAGTTAACAGCACATGCTAACCGGTCCCTACTTGAGCCGTGGAACGAACCTACCCTTAGGTCAGGCGTATGGGACAAGAAGGGTAAAAGGACACCAGCAGTCTCTGGACCTGTCTGCTCTACGTCAGTGGATTTCTATAGATTTCGAGACGCCATGCTCCAAGAACTATATAAGCCTGCGCTTCCTGTGATCTCCGAAAGAGACAATTTAGAGGCAAACAAATATTGTGGAGAACAATTGACGATTCCTGAAGTAAAAGAAGTTAGTGTGAGAACTCTTCTTGACTTGGAGATTCCGACCATGGGTCCGTCGACCGGGAAAGTTGTGGAAACCGTTGGAGTATCCGCGGAGTCTTCCTCGTTGCAGTTAATGAAGGAGGAAGCCGAGAAGGCCTATAGAACGGCCACGGGGTCGTTGGACAATGATGCTCGAGGAGGAGAGGAGGTCATGAAGATTTGGCTTCCGCCTGCTGCTCACTCAAGACTCCGAAGTAAGACGAGTGAGGAATTTCGTGCGCTTCAAGTTCTCCCCGAAGACGCCGTGCTCGTGCTGCGCAGCTTTGAAAACAAGAGACAAACCCTGCCAACGAACATTCCTAATCCATGCCCCTCTGAGTTGTGTGTAGAGCGACAGTCAACAGTTTTTGATAACGACAATGCCCCCGTGTTGAGTGCCCCACAAAACTCAAGAGAGCCGTCCACGACCAGCCTCGAATTGATCAAAATGAATGCGGATCAAATCTCATCGGACGATGATCATCAGCTACAACTCCTTCCCAGAACCACCAGGTGTCAGCACCAGGTTTGTGAGCCTCACCGCTGCGCTCAGTACAGCCACTCCCAGATGGTCAGACAGCGGTTGATGAATCAGCGAAGACCTGCGCCTCTTCAGCAAAATGTGGACAGCGATGAAGCGACGTTGAGATGTAAGCCTTTAGGATTGTCTGGCGAGCCCGTGAAACTACAAGCCAAACCTTCGAACACAGCAGTGCCAAAGAGGTAGGTCGGCTATGCCGTGGCTCTTGTATCCTAGGTTGATGTTTAATAATATTGTCTTATAGTGGATGGGAAAACAAATGCGCACATCAGACTACTGTTAGAGAGCGGGACTGTTCGTTTCTGTTGTTGTTGTTGTTGTTGTTGTTGTTGTTGTTGTTGTTGTTGTTGTTGTTGTTGTTTTTGTTGTTAAATTTCAAAGCTGTACTGCCCCCATCTTTTTCACACTTGTTTGAGGGTGCCATTGACTTGACAAATTCAATTTCTTTCTTTTTGCTGTTTCTGTCTGTATTTCTTGTTATTTCCATCCTCCAAACGTCGAGGTTTTTACGTTCATTGGCTTCTCAAGACTCAAAATAAACACAATCACAATTGAGTTCTTTCGAAGACTGGCTTAATAATATCTGGACTTGGGTCCACAAAGAATCTATGGTGTTTAGGAAACCACAGTCAGGGAGAAAGAAAGTACTCCAGGACGACGGAGAAAAGTAACCATCGGGACACCGATTTCAATCATCTACCTAGTAGACCAAGCTTGAGACTCATTGAGATATCGATCACAGTCTTCAAATATGTTTCAGTGTGTGAGTCTGTGTGTTTTGTGTAAATATTAGTATGTGTGTATGTGTGTGTGTGTGTTTGCGTGTGTGTGTGATTTTGTGTGTGTGTGTGTGTGTGTGTGTGTTTGTGTGTGTTTGTGTGTGTGTGTGCTTGTATGTGTATGCGTTGTGTGTGTGTGAGTCAGGGAGAGAAAAGAGGATGA